ACATGCCACCCCTCAGCCTGGTAACCAAAATATGCCGGTTGTCCAAGGACAGAATCAAACACCTCGCCAGGGCCAGCAGCAACAACCACCGCAGGGCGCTGTCAATCTTCAACAGATGAAGATGAACCAGGCCGCCCAACAGTCTCAAAATCAGTTACAGATGAAGATGCAGCAACAACAGAACCCCCAAAACGGTATGACTGGTGGCATGCCTCCTTCTCAGAGTCCGGCAATGAACACTTTGAACACGCCAGTATCTCGCCCGCCAGGCGGGATGAACCCCATGGGTGGTCAAGGCATGGGCCAAGGTAATGTTCCATTCGGTGACCAGCGTTTCAACCAAGGTACACAGAGACCCAACAATCAAGCTTTTAACAACATGCTGGCCAACATGTCTCCAGAACAACGGCAGGCAATCCAAGGCCTTCCTCCTGACAAGCTAAACGAAGTCCTTAGGCAGTGGCAGAGCCAACGACAGGAACAGATGACTATGACTGCTGGGCAAATGAACCAGCAGCATCGACCACAAAACCAGTTTGCTGGGCAAATGAACTTGAACATGGGTGCTGTGCAAGGAGCTCAGAACCTGCAACAGCCTAATGGAGGCCTGCCCGTCAACCAACCGCAACAGCCACAACAACAGATGCAGATGCCGCGGATTCCAATCCAAAATAATCAGGCTCATGCGATGATGGACGCCATGGACCTTCCCCCACAGGTTCAGAACATCGTCGGACAGCTGCCCATGGAGGTAAAGAAGTGGCGAGACTTGAAGATCTGGCTCAATCAGAACAACACCTTGGCCTCGACAACTCGTAACCAGCTGGGTGCGCTTCAACAGAGACAGTTCCAGATTCTCATGCAACGACGAGCATCGATGCAACAGCAAGCTGGCCAAAACCCGAACGTAAATGCCGCAACGATGTCAAACGCTGTAGGGCAGATGCCCAACCAACAACAAATGGGCATGCAGCGGATAGTTGGAAATGCGAGTTTGCCTCACCATGTTCTCCAGGTAACGCCACAGGAGCTCATGCAAGTACGAAATCAGCGATCCAATTTCAGCCATATGCCAGACGAACAGCTACGAGCAATGGTTTTGCATCTGAAAAGAAAGACTTCCCTCCACCAGCAGCAGCAACAACAACAACCACAAGCCCAACAGATGAGAAATCAGCAGCCGCAAGGTCAGACTCCTAACCAGACGCCGAACCAAGCACAGCAGCAAGCTGGTGGTGCACAAAACCGACTGGGTGCTGTTCCGGTGCCAGTGCAGCAAACACCACAGCCGCCGAACAGGACCCCTCAATCGCAGACTCAACCCAGTCCTGCGACTATGGCCCAAATGGCCTCTATGCAGCCTACCGGGCAGAGACAGCAAGGCCAAGTGGCGAATGCCCAAGCACGGATCAACAGCCAAACTCAACCCACCCCCAAGAGCCTCAAGCGACCTAGTACCGATGATGCCGCAGATACAACAACGACATCCAACACAAGCACTCCTGCACCCACTCGGCCTATTTCACAGCCTAATCAGTCGATGCCGAAGTCGCTGCCTACGCTCAATCCACAGCAAATCGCAGGACTTAGTCCTGAACAACGGGCCAGATATGAGCAATTCATGAAATTCCAGTTGACCGGCCAGACGCAGGGTGCAAACGTGGGTTCGCAACCTACTGCCGACGCCCTTGCCCGACTTCGGACCATCAGCCAAGAGGAGCAGCGCCAATTCAGTCAAGAATCTATGCCTGAAATCTCAATGATCCCGCGAGAGCTCGGCGAAACGGGGACCAAACTCCAGCGTATTGCCCAAGATATGAATAAGGTTAGCCGGGGGCTCACCAAATGGTACTCGATCACCAGGGACGATGCCCGAGCCAAGATGTTTTTCCGAACTGTAAGTAGCCGAAAGCGTACTCCTCATTTCGGCACTATGGGCTTGTGTTGGCCAAACTATTTTGTTGCCGAATTTGTGCACATAAAACTAACCCGCGATTTGTAGCGACTGCGTATCATGAAGCAATTCTCTGACGGCGAGACGATGAAAGTTTTGAAAGACAAGTTTAGCATCAATTCTGCAGAAATTGATCAAGCCCGGGCTATGTTGGAAAGCATGGCCAAGGACCTAGCAGCCAGCATGTACGGTAGAGGAATGATGAAGCCGGGCCAACAAGCACCACAAGGCCAAGGAGCTAGTCAGAATCAAATTGCGCAGTCACAGCAGCAGGCCCAGCAACAAAACCAGCAGTCTCAACCTGCACCCCTGAACGCGGCCAATCTGGAAAAGAATGCGCAGGCACTCAAGAACCAGCAAAAGTCTGCCAGCAAAGGTGGCGCCTCAGTGCCTCCCGCGCCGACAGCTACGCAACCTCCTTTCTCCTTCGGAGCCTCGTCACCCCATGGAAACCCTAGCTATCTTGGCAAGCCCAAGGATGTTATGAATCTTCAGCTGCCAGCTTCTCGCAAGAAGCAGAAAGTTTCTGGCCAGCAGCCGGGACAGACGCCACAAGGCGCGACCCCTTCACCAAAGACAGCTAAGAATGCTTCGCCAGAAATACGACGCTCAGAGCCTCCCAAGCCAGTGTTCCTCTGCAAAGAGCCAGAATGCGAAACGGCCTCGTTCGGCTTCCCAAGCGAACAAGCGTTGCAGCAACACGTTGAAGAGGAGCATACCAAACCCAGGGAAGACCCCGTCAAGTTTGTCAAGGAAAATCTGGCGCTTGCTCTTGGCTTGGAACCTGATGGCAGTCCCAAGAAGAATCAAAAACCAGCTGACGGTGCAACTGCGATGAGCCTATCAACATCGAAGCAGGGCCAGACACCCAAGAATGTTGCAGGAACGCCAATATCACAGGATAATGCTATGAAGAGGACCGGAAGTGCATTGAGCAAGAGTGCGGATGGCAAGTCAAAATCGGATGCCGCGGGATCCAAGCAGCCCACGCCGAGTGCCTGGGCCGGTTGCACCATCGATCCTCAGGCCTTGCTAAGCAACCTCGGTTTTGAAAACGGACTTCCCAATATAATCAGCGACGCCAACTTGTACCGCTCTTTGACTCCAAAGGACACGCCCGAGTCCAGCAAGGATAGCGGCTCGAGCGAGCCAAACAGCGACATTTCGGAAGGGGCGGCGCTTGAGATTGATATGACGTGGCAAACATTTGACCCGGACCTACTCCTGGACCTTGACAATGCGTCTTTGGAAGGTGATTTGAGCGGCCTTGACCCGACGTTAGTATTGGATCCCCCTTCAAGGGCCCCGCCAGACTGGGAGGACATTGATGACGACTTTTCGAAACCATTCCAGCTTGATATGAGCATGTACTCAATGAGCACCTGATGGTCCATTGATCGATCCATGATTGATGGAATCGACCATGGGGCAGGTTAATGCGCAAGCGACCGAGGCAGTATTGTGAATGTTGGCGACGCAAAAGAGCCAAAGTAATCCGTGTTCCTACTCTGATGTGGTCAAAGCACAAGATGCAACTGCTTTGTGCTTTGTGTTTATTTTTCTGTTTCTCCTGTTTCTAGTTTTTTCTACGTGGGCTCGTGTCGCTTGGGACACTTGAGCGTTCAGGATATATACCCGACTGATGATACCGGCACGCATATGGACGCAGGCACTCTGGAGTGATTTGGCGACAAAAAGGAAACTTTTTTGTTTTTACTACTATTTTTGATGTTGTGTTGTTTTCTTGGGAAGAGGGAAGGGAACGGATGGATGGGGGAGTGGAGTGGAGTGGCTGGATTACTTTGCCATGAAAGAGTCTCGAGACTCTCTTCCAAGTGGCAACTGGCACCGGCGTTTGCAACTTTTGGAATGCTTTTTCTGCGAATTGGATCACCTATGTCCTCCCTACCAGGCATTTGTAATGCGCGTCAGGGGCTTCTGAAGCCAGTGTTTTTTGCTTCTTTTTTTCAATAACTGGGCTGATGTGTACCTCATGAATAGCGAAGTTGGGATGGGGAAGTAGTGGTTAAGGAAGTGACATGACAATGTTGCGCCTTACATGTCTCTATTGGCACTACCTATGCTTTTTGTTTTCAGAGACATGAATGCCGGACAAGTTGTCTTGAGCGATTTTATATAATGCGGTATGTCATGCCATATTTCTCCGTCCCGTCGTGACCTGAATGGAAATTGGTTCAAAGTGAAAGGTTCCGTCTGCCCTTTATGTTTGTTTCCTTTGGCGAGGTTTAGCGTCGGGTCGGCGTCGGGTCGGCCCGCGGGTCCGAATCCACACTAGTGGACTACGGCATGGACGCCGATGATTTGCTGAGTCGTGTGTATAATTGCGCGGTAGCAGACTTTCTCATCATGGGTTGGGAAGGGAAGAAAAAACATGGAGCGACAGAAGGAAACGACGCGGCACTTTTATACCAGACCTACGAGGTATGTGATTTCCCCCCCTTCCCCCCTTCCCCCTCGGGCGGACGACCCCTCGACCCCTTGCTATAGAACCAGTAGTGCTATAGATTGTACGAGTAATGGCACGGCAAAAGCGGCACTCGGACCGCCTTTTCTACTCCCGTCCCCGTTTTGTTTATTATTATTATTAGTAGTTTCTTTTCTTTTCTTTTGTTTTTCCAAAAACCTGACGAGACCTTCTGCGAAAAGCGGTATAAGCTAATTCACTTGGTTGGTGGGCACAGGACAAAAGGTTAGATGTGTAAAAATATTATACTTGTCTTGTTTTATTATTTCTATTGCTTGATTCGGAGAATCGTGTCTTTCGGATTGGGCGTGCAGCTGAGCGATGCGGGTTCAGCTGGGACGGGGAAGGTGTGGGCGAAGCGGCGGGCGGGCGGGTGGGCAGGTAGAGAAGGGCGGATTAATCATGCATAAGACCGGCATTTTGCTGTACGGAGTACGGAGTAGTCGGGGGATAATCAGCTCTTGGTTTTTTTTTTTTTTTTTTTTTTTTTTTGCTTGCTCACTGGGATGTATTGGTGGAGGTTTTTTTCACGCAAGCTCACAAGCAGCAAGACAAGCAAGTTCAAGGCTTTTCTCCAAAGGGCACGGCGTCCCATCGGACGCGGCGCAGGTGGCGCGCCTGGTCCCTGATGTCGGTCCTGGCATGGAGCCACCTGAAGTTGTCGACGAGTATGACGGAGCCGCTCGGCAAGTCGGACGCCGGGAGGTGAAGCGTCGCCTGGGGAGCCAGGACGTGTACCATCTCCAAGGCGGCGTTGAGCTCGTCGAGGGCGGCGGCGGCGGCGGGCGTCAGCGGCGCGAGGATGTCGCGCCTGAAGCGCAGGGCGCCGCGGCCGCGGCTCGTGGAGGGCAGCCGGCCCCGGAT